GCGGAAACTAAAGTGTTGGTTGGGGACGTGGGGTTTAGCATCACTGACTATTTGGGGCCTATTGTCTTGTTCTTAACAATTGGTGGGGAAAATTCAAAGGGCTGAACAGCCAGTAAAAAGTTATGCCCACTCTCGCTCCTCCTCCATTTCCTCTCCTGCTGCCTTTTCTTGTGGATCTTTATGAACACGGGGCTCCGGGCGCTCGGGGAGCCGGCGCCATGCCAACAGGTGGTGGCTGTGACCGGCCTGGGGAGCTCCCAAGCAGGTGTTGGGGTGGGTCTGCGCCTCATTTGCCGGGGTCGAAATTGATGGCTATTTTTGGCTTTAACTACATGTTGCCAGAACCCATCAGTGGTTCTTGGGGCGACCTGTGGACAGCGGCAGTGTCAGGGCAGCATCACCCGGGAGCTTGGCAGAAACGCAGGTCCGAGGGCCCCACCCAGGTCTGTGGGATGAAACTGCAGGGTCGGAGCCCTGAAGCCCGTGGTCTAACAAACCCCAACCTGGCTCCGCAGAAACGCTCCCTGAATCCACATGCCTGTCACTATGGTCCCGACACATTTTCTAGTCTTACACATTTTTGAAACCCTTTTCCAAATTAAATTCTAGACAAGGGATGCAGATTAAATGTTAAGAAGTGAGCGATAAATCGTGTAGCTCAATTATTTGAAAATGAGAAGCAAGTCACTTGGTCCTCTGGGCCTGGACTATTCCACCTGTCCTGTCAGAATATTCATTTAGCCCTGGCTGGTTTGGCTCAGTGGATAGAGCGTCGTCCTGCAGACTGAAGGGTCCTGCGTTCGATTCCGGTCAAGGGCACATGCCTGGGTTGCGGGCTCGATCCCCAGTAGGGGGCGTGCAGGAGGCAGCCGATCAATGATTCTCTCTCATTGATGTTTCTGTCTCTCTCTCCCTCTCCCTTACTCTCTGAAATCAATAAAAATATATTATTAAAAAAAAAAGAATGTTCATCAGGTTAAATGGCTGACCTGATCCTAAATTCCTCCCCTAAATTCTGTTATTAAAAAATGACAAAATTTGGAAATAAGTGAGAATTAAATAAAAATGCATAAATTGAGTTAATATGCCGATAAATAGTAACATATACTTCTATCCCTCTTTACACTTTTCAGAAGAAGCGAATGCTATTGATGGCTGTTAGGATGTGGTCTAGACAGTGGTACAGCGCTTGGCATATACACTTACCGCATCAGTGCTAACGCCAAACAATCAGAAGAATGCTTTTGGCTTTAACCCACTGTATGCCATAGGCGTCTGTAGACACAAGCAGCAGACCTTCCCCATACGCCACTACGCCACACGCATTTATGAAAAAAAGATGTTTTCCCTAAGTGGCAGCCCTGACCAACTTTAAAATCATTTTTCCTGAGAATTTTCAGCCGAAAATATTCAAGAACACCTGAATTGTGAGTACTATGTTTATTTATTTTATTTTTTTAAAAATATATTTTATTGATTTTTTACAGAGAGGAAGGGAGAGAGATAGAGAGCCAGAAACATCGATGAGAGAGAAACATCGATCAGCCGCCTCCTGCACATCTCCCACTGGGGATATGCCCGCAACCCAGGTACATGCCCTTGACCGGAATCGAACCCGGGACCCTTCAGTCTGTAGGCCGATGCTCTATCCACTGAGCCAAACCAGTTTCGGCACTATGTTTATTTTTTATAATATTCATTGCAAATTGATTTTTTAAATTAAATTCGAAATATCATGGCATGTGGGGATGGTTTCCATTTGGACGTGTGGCCGTTAACTGGTTTGATTTACAGATGAGCAACCTGGAGCAGGGCCTTAAGCATCTGGCCTGATCAGCTCCCAGCAGAAAAGGAGCGGCCTGTGATGTTTCACTGGCAGCCACGGTTGTGGATGTTGGTGCTTATCGGAGCCTCGTCCCTGGAGCTCTGTGATCCACGGGGCAGAGGCCCAGGGGGGCAGGAGGGAGACATGTCTCAGCCTGAGCCCATCACAGACACTCCGCTGGCCTGTGTTGCAGCCTTACTTCCTGGACCGGAGGAATGAGGTCTATTTTGGTTAGACTGGCCGATTGGAGTCTTTCAAGGGGCCTCCTGCAGCCACGATAATAACCTAAAATCCACTCTATGCTCTGGGGCACATGGCAGACATTCGTTCCATACAGATGTGCTGGAGGCAGGCCTGGAGACTTGCAGCCTCTGCATTATCACCTGTTTGGTCAGTGTGAAAGGCAGCGGTGCTGGGGATGAGGGGAAGTGAGCACCTATGCTGGGTGTGGATCTGCTACCCTGCCCACAGCACTCTGCAGTTTAGGGGTGGCGCCTACACTCAAGGGGAGGGACTATGCAGGGCATTGCAGCAGGGGTGGGGTCAGGGGGCGACCTAGAACCCCGCGTTCTATCCACCCCCCCCCCGCCCCTCCCCGTAGAGCAAGGCCGCAGCCTAGCATGGGCGCCACCATCATCCCCGTGGCTGTCATTCGGCCCAAGGACCGCGGGGACGGGCACCTCAAACCAGTCATGTCTCTCTCCATATAAGCAATAGCCGTCTAAGTTGGGAAAAGAGAGGCGGTTGGTTTGGGAGCACCGTCATGGGGTCCAGGTGTAACGCCTGGCAAGGAGCTGGGCCTGGCGCTGCTGCTCCACTGGGCTGGCTTGTGCAAGCCTCGAGGAAGCCATGGCCCCACGGAGAGAAGCAGAGCCAGGAAACAGGCTCAGAGGCTCGGAGAGGAGGGCATGCTAGAGGAGACTCCTGAGGACGGAACAGCCACCAGGAGGCCCTGGAGAACACCTGTCCACCCACGGACCAAGGCATGTGCGGTGAAGGGGCCGCCAGCACCAGCGAGGAGCTCAGTGGCGGCTCCTCTCTGGGCCAGGGCTGCTGGTGGGCGACGCCGCTACAGAACTGTGCTCCTGACCCTGAGGGGGAGGCAGCGTCCTGAAGTGACAGAAGCCAGGCGACAGCACTCACCGCCAGAGACGGGTGCGTGGGTGCCTGGAACACATGGCAAGGGCGGCGGTCACACCTGGCAGCCCGAGGAGTCTGTTTCCAGCGAGGACTGCGAGGGGGTGACAGACACGGTGCCCCTGGGACAAGACAGAGCTTCCCTCTGTAACCAAAGGGGATCTGGGTGGACAGGGAAGGCTCAAGGCAGCCGTCCCAGTAAATGACGGTTCGGTGCCTAGTTTCAGGCCTTTGACCGAAAGGAGGCCAGGCTGCAGCAGGAAGGTCCCACCTCATCGTGGCAAACGCAGTGCTGACGGCCCCTCCGTCCTTCTCCAAGGGCACCTGGGCGCCACGTGCTTAGGGAACTGGACGTGAAGACAGGGGCACAGCCAGACATGGTAAGGACTATTGGATGTGAGTTAACACTGAAAACCACAGATTTCAAGCATCATCATTCCAGAGGCCGCGTAATAGACGGAGTCCCGGGCCAGGCCCAGGCAGAGTGGGTGCACGTCGGCCATGGATCTGCCTGGCGGGCACTTCCCCACCCACAAATACGCAAGTGGGGAGGACATGGTTATTCCACATAGTCGGCCTGTAAGGAAGAACTATTGCAGTGGGAAGGTCCACTGGAAGCCTCTGAAACTGCTTCACACACCAAAACAGCCTATCAAAGATGATACCACACCCGGCAGGGTTTGGCACTGCCTAGTGCCCCCATAAAGAGAAGAGAACGCAGGGGTGGTGGCGCCTCCCCCCCATGTGAAATCACATCTGCTCTGCACAAACAGATGCCCAGTGGGCCCACCTTACCTGGCGTCCACTCTCCGCAGTTTCAGTTACCCGCAGCGGGGTCCAAAAACATTAAGTGAAAAATTCCAGAAATAAACACTCTAAGTTTTAAAATGCATAATAATCTGAGTAACGTGATGTCATCTCCCCCATTCAGCTGTGCTCCGCTCCATCCTGCCCAGGGCATGAGTCGGCCCTTTGTCTAGCGTCTCCATGCTGTGCGTGCAGCACAATAAGATATTTTGAAAGAGAAAAACCACATTCGCATAACTTTTATTATAGTTTATTGTTACAATTGTTCTATTTTATCATCAGTTATTGCTGTTAACCTCTTACAGTTCTTATTTGTAATTAACCATCATAGGTAGGTATGT